GTACTGAATACCAATGAAAATACTTTCCCACCCATCGCCCCCTTAGGTGTCCAGCTCATTAATCCACAGCGCTGCCTTCCCTTGCTACCTTCACGCTCTAATAAATGGGGGCTTTGAAAAACCCACTGGCTAGTCCTAGACACGGCATTTTGAACTTGAAATTGGACACTTGTGGGTGCTGGAGGTTTTTAGCTCCAATTACATATTTTCTCTTTTCACTCACTGGCCAGTAGCAGAAATTGCTGACAGCAAAGCATACTATACTTTGTTGTTTCCACTAGAGGACCTTTGCTTTTGCAGATTGCTTGACCTACCGCTTTCCAAAACTTTTTAAAAGCTCTAATGATGTTGCAAACATAAGATTAGGGACACTGCAACGATAGAAAACCTTAATACTAACAAGGCAGGATAGTCTCTAAATCCTCCTGATGACTATTTTCATCTTCCCGGTCCTGTTCTTTTGAGTTTCCGTAGAATACAGATTTGCCCTGAAGCAAGTCTATGTCCACCGTACACAATCAGCCTAACTTGGTACAACATCAAACTCATTCTGCTACTTTCCCTGATCAGAGTCTACGGTTTTGTTTTGTTTTTTGCAACTTCCCCTGAATCTCACTGATCAAATCTCTTGGAACCAAATACTGGAGGAATCTGAATGTCCCTAGCTATTGAAATATCTTTGATTTTGTGACTAGATATTTTCAGGTACTTGTGCATCTTGTGTATGTTACCTATGATAAAGAGGAATTGGGGTATTAAATTATGTGAAGACATTTTCCCCATCCAGATTCTGACTGCATATGATACTTGTTAGAGTAAACAAGTTCTACTCTTAAGCCCTCAGATCAAAGAGTTGTCAGCTTCGCATGAATAAGGTTGAAGACTCACGATGCTCCTGGGGAAATGTGTGGCAATCAGGGATAACCTGTTAGCAGGAAAATGTCCCGAAATAACTGGAACAACTAGGCATCACACAGGATTTTCCAGCATTGCAGTTCATTTTTGTGGAGTCCCAGCCCAAAGCCAGGGTTGGATGCTCATGGCCTTGAGGGTGGTGGGAGCTTCCAGAAAGGCATAGATAAGGGCTAGATGCAGATGTGGGGACTCATTTCTGAAAATCGACTCCCTGTTGATTAAGATCAAGAGGTCTTAATGATCACATCCCTCTGCTCGGCTTGGAGGAAATCATCCAAGCCACGCCTCTTGCCACTCACTGGGCATTATATCTCGGCAAGCCCAGAAGGCCGGCCTGGCAGACAGGATTGCTCCAGCTTCCCACTGATGATCGTGGCAGAGAAAGTGTTTGCAAAAGGGCTGATGAGAGGCACACAACCTCACTCCCTTTGGCAAAGGAGGCTTGAACAAGTAGTGCATGGGTGCAAACGGGTAGCTGCATTTGGAGAGGGAGAATGAAGGAGGAATTTGAGAAGCAGGTGGCAGCCAGAGTCAAAGTTAGGGAAAGGGCATTTCACTGTAGGCTGGGTTGGTGATATTTCCTATCCCTGCTCCTGTAGAGAGGCCAGTTCCTTATGTATCAAAACAGAGGTCTCACTGTACCATCTACAAAAAGGGAAGTTGCCTTTGGTGGGGACCTGTGGTGCAGCTGATAAAGGCAGAAATGTGTTGAGAAATCAGGGAAATGCCTTCGTTGAGCAGGTCGTTCACCAGCCAGCCTTCTGCTTGAGACTTTCTGAGTCTTGCCTCCAGCCCAGGACAGAGTCACATCCCACTGTCACAGACGTCTCTGCTTTCTCTCCCTCCCCCACCCATGATCTTTCTCTGAGGTGCTCATCTCAGCAAATGGCAGCCCTCTCCGCCCAGTTGCCCAGGCTGGAGACTGCTTCCCTTAGAGACTCCTCCAGCCCAGCACATACGTCAGCTGGGAGTGGAAACGGCCTGCGGAGAGCAAAACACTGTGTTGACATAAGGTACAGCGAGGGGTATGGGAAAGCCGGAGGAGGCATTTCACGGAGATAGTTACTGCATGAAAACACATTAACCAACCTGACTTCAAGGGAAATGACTCGGTTCCATGAACAAGGCTAAAAACAGGCAAACCGTGCTAGTGGGAAGCCTGAAGAAAAGGTGAGGTGTGCAGAACTCTGACCAAATGGACAGGAGAAAGAGAGAGTGCCCCGGGGACATTTAATATTAGAAGAGGACCCGAAGATTTAGGGACTTGGCCTTGAAGCAGCTTGCAATTAAACCGGAGTTATTTATTTGTTCTTTGTGCACAGCCATTCAAAAATAGCCCTGATCTAAGCTCTCAGGCACCATAGGAGCCCGGGAGGCATTTACCCATAAGCTGGGAGTGTTTGGTGGCGGTAGCCAGCGCACTTACCGCCCAGAACAGGCTAGAACCAGCTGGGAAGGGGCCAGAGGTCCTGCAGCTTACCTCAGCCCATTGCCACCCCACCCCTGCCTTCATGACACTCTCGGGCTCTGTCACACATGCGCCCCCATCCCCAGCACCTGTGCCCCAAGACATCAGATTCAGAGTGCTTGCTGTGCCACCAGCACTGCTTCTCACGTGAGCTTCCAGAGGTAGGCTTCTCACGATCACTGTAAGTAGCATTGGAATTGCACACATTTTCCCATCATGGGCCTCTATGGCTTCATAGAACTACACAGAAAAAACCCTCCAAAAGTTTGAGTGACTCCTCTGTTATGTACGTGTGTGCTCTGTGGTCAAATGTTGCAGTTCTGGAAGTCTCAGAGCTCTGACTCCAAATTCTTCTGCGAACTTGGACAAATTCCTTTACCTTTTGTATCAGTTTGCAAGGGCTACCTTGAATAAACGTAGGCTAGAGCAAGGGCTACCAGGCTACCAGAACGAAGTACTGCAGGCTGGGTGGCTTACAAAACAGAAATCAATTTCATCACAGTACTGGGGGCTAGAAATCCAAGATCAAAGTGTAGGTAGAGTTGGTTTCTTCTAAGGCCTGTCTCCTTGGCCTGTGGATGGCTGCCTTCGGCCTGTGTCATCTTGTGGTCTCTGTGCTCCTGCATCCCAGGTATATATCCTAATCTCTTTTTAAGTGCACCAGTTGAATGGATTAAGGCCCATCCCAATAGCCTCATTAACTTAATTGCCTCTTTAAAGGTTCTGTCTCCAAATTCAATCACATCCTGAGGCATTGGGGGTTAGGACTTCAACATACGAATTTTGGGGAAAAGGCAATTCAGCCCTTAACGATTTTCTTAACTTCATTTTTACTCTTTAATGTCTGAAGAATTCCTTGAGATGAGCCAATGATGTCTGAGGTCTTTTACCTGCTCTACCAATGCTGCCTGGGAATGTGTGCTGCTCTCTCTCATGAGATTTTAAATACTTAAATGGCACTAGTCATGTTGTCTTCCCCATCTGAAAATAACACCCATCCCCTTTCATCCATTGTCAGTTGCTGGTGCTGCCATTACCAAGGTCATCTGAACTGGCCCTCTATCTAGCTAAGACTTTAGAATGGCAGTCAACAAACAGCACTCCTAAGAGGACTGAGGCCAGCCACACTGCAGCTGCTGTGTGGTCTGGTTCCCTGACATCACAAATATCATTTTTAATTAGGGTTCTACTTGTCACAGACACATTAAGAGCACCATTGAAGGGATGCACAAGCATACCCCTGCTATCTTTATATACTTGTTTTGAGAGTGTGGATCAGGAAATGCATTCCTGTCCCACATCTGCTAATTGTCCCTTCCTTAGTTTAGAATCAATGAGTGCCACCTCCTTCTGATCTACCCTCACTTGTAGTAGAGAGAGTGGTGGACGAGGCAGAAAAACTCAGCAAACTCTCATGCCGATGGCCAAAATAAATTTTTGCTTGAAATCATCCTTTAAGCTTTTCTCCTCTTAGCTCCAAGTAGAGGAAGCATCCACATAGCTGATGTTAGAAGTTCATGCACATACTATCCACAGACACTTAAATTGCTCCTGATGGCCATTTTAAAAAAGCTGTACTTTGAGACATTTTTTTCGCATCTTCAGTTTCTGGTCTGTCTCAGTGTTCCAAGTTAGCACGAGGGAGAAACAAAAAACAACTACTCTTGAATTTTGGTTGTCCATGAGAAATGGCCAAAAACACTTCTAGGAAATCCCCTGCAATTCCCAGCCTGTTCAGTCCATTTAGTCCGCCTGACGACTTTTGTTAAATCGTAGAATTTTTTCCCACAGAGACAAAAAAAAAACAACAACGCAACATCAACATGTTATTTCCAATCATTTGTCTTTTATCACAAAAAAAATACCCTTAGCTTCAATAACTCTGGCAACCATGGCAACAGTATGGGCTTTGTTTCTAAAGAGCTAAGTCTAGAATATAAGTAATAAATTAGAAATACAAGTAAGAAGTAAGAACTCAACACCTGTTGTCTTCCAGGATGGATTATTTACTGATGTCATAGACTGCACGTAGTAAGCCATTTTGCTGTGGAAGCTGAAAGGAATGAAAGTGTGTTAGCTGTGTTATCTGGCACAGGTAGAACACTTATTCATTGACATCTCCAGGACTCAATACCCACCTTCGCTCCATTGCCAAAACCAATTGTCTTAATTTAATAATGGAAAAAAATTCTTAAAATATTCCAGTATCATTATCACTTTTCATTGTCTTATTATAAGGATTTCTTATCATCAATATGTACTTCCTTGCAAAAGGAAGGAAATGCAATGACTGAAACAGAAATATTTTGTCCCCTTTTTCTCATCTGTGCCTCCATGCTCACAGCACCCCGGCTGTAGGCAGAGCTGTTATTCTTCTGAAAAACTTAATTCCTGAAGATTTACAATTCTTGTTCTTTTCCTTATCCATTCTTCTTATGTGATTTTCTCTCTTCCCCACCTCTTTCCTTTGCCCTTTCTCTTCTTCCATTTTCTTGCTTTTCATTTTTCTTTCTTTCAGGTACTCAGTCTGCTCCATATGTGATGATAGGTTTACCTATCATTTTCACGGCCTGGTTAGGATACTTCAGATCAAGTTACTTGCAGAATCCAGTTACAATTTTTTCGTTGTAAAAAGGGGTTTCAGCTGTTGGGAACCTGAGGTTGATTGGCTTTGAGGCTGCGTAGGGCTCTTCTTGCTCCTGCAGACTTGGCGATCCTGTAGCTCCTCCGACGCCTTTAAACTTCCCCTTCCTCACCACTTCCACCGTGACTCTGACCTTGCCATCATACGTCCTCTCAGCCGGGCTGAATTTGGCAGTTTCTGGTTCCATTTCAAGCAATTCTCGAACAGGGGAGCGGGGCACATTTGCAGAAAATTTTTCTATCAGCGGCCGCATCATTGGGTAGTACACCTGCCACACCATCTCCAGGGACATCCCGCTATCCATGTAAATGGCACCAGCAAGCGACTCAAAAATGTCCCCCATGGGACATTTGGAACTTCAATGTCCTCCTCCTTCTCTTCGTCCTCCTCAGACCTCCTAAGCTCTGAGTCCATGCCCTGCATCTCGTTCTTCTCCAGCTGGAACTGCACGAAGTCGTCGATGACGTGGAAGAGCTCGGGGGAGACGGCTTTGAAGTACTTGTGGTAGTCGTATTTGACTGCCAGCGACGCGAAAATGGTGTTGTTGACCAGCGCGGACCGCAGGTCGGTCAGGACGCCCGGGGAGTGCTGCCGCGGGTCTTCGTAAAGGTGCTTGGTAATGAGGTAGTCCAGAATCGCACCTGGATATATGGAGATATATGGATATATCTCCATATAGCAAGGATAAATTAAAGATTGATGGGAGAAAAATCCTGCCCCCAGAGTAAAGGGATATTGGTTCAAGGTTGACACAGATCATTCAGCAGGTTTCTGCCCATAGTCATGACAGAATAAATGATATTGGAGTAGACCTCCCACTGTAAATAACTAAAAAGGCTGGATGAAATATGTGATGCAACAGTTTTCAGTTATTGAAAATAGCCAGCAAAGGACGACAATTCCTGACTTTAGGGGGAGAAATGAAGTAAACCCTATAATTGTTTTAGCTTTTTATCTGAAGGCAGCTTTTAGACTGGACCCAGGGAAAACCCAAGCAGAGCGTGGAGGTCTCATTGGGTTGAGAAGATAGGGATTAGAGTTTGGGAAGACTGACACTGTCAGAGAGTGTAGGCTAAGACACCAGAGAAAAGGGAGCTATATAGAACTCCAGAAATGTGCAGAGAAGTTCCCTTGAGTCTCTGGCTGAATACTAAGCTGCAAATGCAAAGAGCAAAACTCCAGATGGTCAGGAAATGGAACCTTTAAGCTGAAAAATTCCTAGGCCTCATCTAGAGTAGGGAGACATTTAGGTTCTGGCCAGCCGAAGTGAAGATAGCTTGTGAAATAACTGGAAGGGTCAATAAAGTGTTTAGAAATGAAATATCCTTAAAAGGGCCAAACGGGGTCCACTTTAACAAAGCTTAAACCAAGCCTCAGGAAGATCAAGCTAATAATCAAACAACTTAACTGCCTATCAAATCAATTCAACACTTTTTGAAGGAAAATAAAACCCAGCATTCAACAATGTAATACACACAATGTCCTGCATTCAGTAAAAATAACTAGACATGTGAAGAAACAGGAAAATGTGACCCACAATGAGGAGAAAAATCAGTGAATATTAATATACTCAGAAATAATAGATCCAGAAGATGGAATTAGCAGACAAGGACTATAAGACCAATTAAATAAACTCAAGAATTTAAAAAAGAACAAAAATAATGAAGAATTGACTATATAAACATCAGAAAAATATACGTCAGGACTAGGAACATTACTAGAGATCAAGAGGGACATTTCATAATGATAAAAGGGTCAATTCATCAATAAGATGAAAAATATTAATGGGTATGCATCCAGTAACAAAACTTCAATTTACATAAACTAGTCAATCAAGAAATGACATTTATAGCTGCTGTTTTAAAGATTTGTTTATTTATTTGAGAGAGTGAGAGAGATGATGAGAGGGAGAGAGAGTATGAGAAAGGGGAGGGTCAGGGGGGAAGCAGACTCCTTGCTGAGCAGAGAGCCTGATGTGGGACTTTATCCCAGGACTCCAGGATCATGATCTGAGCCAAAGGCAGTCGGTTAACCAACTGAGCCACCCAGGTGTCCTATAGCTGCTGTTTTAAATTGAAAAGTGAAATACTACATGGCTACTCAAGGTTGTCTTTACCACCATGGATTTACTGAGTAAACTATCCTAGGGCTTTATTAGGGGGACAGAAAAACTGTTTAACAGATTTGGCTTTGACCTCAAGGAGCTCACAATAAGGCAGAAATACAGAACACACATACACAGCAATTAAAAGATTAAAAGATATGTCTCATGTATTTTTTCCTTAAGCTTCTGTCTTTCAATTTTTGAATCAAATACATCATTAGCTCTTATTGGCTATTTTCCATCTTTAGGTATTAGTTCCTTGTCTTAAAAACATTGTAGTAGGGGCACCTGGGTGGCTCAATGGGTTAAGCCTCTGCCTTTGGCTCAGGTCGTGATCTCAAGGTCCTGGGATCGATCCCCACATCGGGCTCTCTGCTCAGCGGGGAGCCTGCTTGCCTCTCTCTCTCTCTCTCTCTCTCTCTCTCTCTCTCTCTTTCTCTCTCTCTCTGCCTGCCTCTCTGCCTACTTATGATCTCTGTCTGTTAAATGAATAAGTAAAATCTTAAAAAAAAAAAAAACATTGTAGTAACTACTTAGTCATCCCTGTTATGCCCAAGTTACTACTTGACCCTTACTTCTAGGTTCAGCTAGAACCCTCAGAATTGGGAACCTGATAGAGGATCATTGTTAGTATTACTTAAGATGGAGATCTACTTTAGGGTCCAAATAAGTCTTGCAATGAGCTGGTGCAGGCCCTTTACCCTGCTTTCTACCCGTTAGAAGCAAGTTGTGAGCCCTCAGTGCACTCACATTAGGAGAATTCTTTTGAAAAAAAAAGAAAGAAAAAAAGATTGGTTTTCAGGGTGATTCACACTCATTATAGTTAATTAAACCAGTCCCACTTAAGAAGAGAAAGGAGCCACTCCTTGGGAAAAATCATTCTTAAAAATCCACTTTATATACACAATTTAATCTTTTAAAATTCAGTCATCTTTCCCAAGAAAACTGCCTGAGGGTAGTGTTGGGATTAGAATGGATTATCCCTAAGAGCTTATCCATAAATCCAAACTCAGCTAACAGGAAGAGCTCTTTGTTGCCTCTTAATGAATGATTGAACTTATTTATGCCACTTCTTTCCAAAAAAAGATCAAAGTAGCTTACCAACAAACCTGCTATAGATATTAGCTGGTTCCAGGAAGGAGCTGCCCAAAAGATAAGCCTCATCTAGTGTTGCCTGGAAATGTGAGCTTCTCTATGAAGCTTTCCCCAGGTTTCCTGGTTGCTCATGTCTCTTTGTAACATGGAAAGACTATGGACTTTGGAGTCAAATAAGTTGGCAAAGAATCCCAGCTTTGTCACTATAACCTGTGTGGTCATAGGCTGTCAGGAAACATCATGGAGACTTATTTTCTTCATCTATAACATGGCTGTGTACACACATGCACACACACACACACACACACACACACACACACAAAGACTACAAATGCTAGTTCTCTCAATTCTCACCTTATACCTCTATTATAGGCCTTATCATTCATTACTCTAACATGACCATGTCTTAGATCTTCTGGAATCTGGAAAGCTGGTTACTATTCTTACTGTTAGAATTGTACTTGTCTGCCTCACACTCCTTGATGCAAAGGGCTGTGTCTTATTCACCTATGTCCTTATCTGGACACAGTGTCTGGCACAGAGTAGATGGTATTATTATTGTTGAATGAAACCCTTGCTCTTCTTTAGAAGCACTGAATAAGCTCTCCATCCTTCTTCAGAGAAGAAAACAACAATACAAAACAAAAATTTTAAAACTCCTCAAGGTTTCTCTTGTAGCTCCCTTATAGCTGAGGCCATACTTCTCTTACAGGGGTACTGGGTGAAAAGCTTTGATGTCAGGCCCTGGGTTCAAGTTCCTGTTCTTCTACCTAAACTTGAGCCATCAAATAAAGGAATGTGTGAGTCAAAGCTACAATGAGATATCACCTCACACCTTCCAAAATGGCTGAACTCAACAATACAAGAAACAACAGCTGTTGGCGATGATGTGGAGAAAGGGGAACCCTCTTGCACTGTTGGTGGGAATGCAAACTGGTGCAGCCATTCTGGAGAACAGTATGGAGGTTCCTCAAAAAGATAAAAGTTAAAAACAGACCTACCCTATAAAACAGCAGTTGCACTACTGGTTATTTACCTGAAGGAAATAAAAATACTAATTCAAAAGCATACATGCACCCCAATGTATCCTTTACATTGGATTTAGAATATTATAACAGCCAAATTATGGAAAGAACCCAGATGTCCATCAACTGACGAATGGATAAAGAAGTTGTGGTATACACACACACACACACACACACACGAATATCACTCAGCCACAAAAAAAGAATGAAACTTGTAATTTGCAACAATGTGGATGGAGCTCGAGAGTATTAAGCTAAGTGAAATAAGTCATAGAAAGACAAACATCCTGTGATTTCATTCATGCATGGAATTTAAGAAACAAAACAGTGAGCAAAGGGGGAAAAAGAGAGAGGGGCAAACCAAGAAACAGACTCTTAACTATAGAGAACAAACTGAGGGTTATCAGAGGAGAGGTGTGTGTGTGGGGGGCAGGTTAAACAGGTGTTGGGGATTAAGGAGGGCACTTATTGTCACGAGCACTAGGTGTTGCATGGAATGCTGACTCAGTATTTTTGTACACCTGAAACTAATATTTCACTGTCTTTTAACTAATTGGAATTTAAATCTTAAAAAAAATAAAGAACTGTGTGTACACTGGCCTGGTCAGTCCTGGCTCATGGGAAGGACACAGTGTTGTTGTTGTTGTTGTTGTTTTTCTCTGAGCTGTCCCCTACTCTTAAACAAATCACAGTCTTAGATATAAAAGTGATATTCTTGACGGTTGACGCTGCCTGATCCAACTCTGCATTATCACCCAGTCACTCTATTTTAAACCCTTGTCCATTTTCCTCACACTTAATTTTTCTGCTTTGTTGTTTGTCTTTGCTTTCATATGGAAATGGAACTTCGTAATTGCATGGCTAGTTTCTGTGGAGGTCCTGGCTGTACCAACTGCCTCGCAGCAAATGAAATGGGTACTCCCTACCTTCTTTTCATTTTGTTCCTTAAGAGAAAACTTGAGTTAAAAAGACTGCCTGAGGAGATCCCCTGTCTCTCAAATTGCTGGTGTGCAGGGTAGGATATTGGCTCAGAAACAAATTGTCGCCTGCTCTTTGAGACACCACTGTCTAGGGCTTCTGAATATATCCTTCATTTGTAACAAACAGGCTAATCACTCATTGTAAATCAAAGAGGTTGTGAATATTTGGAGGGTTAGCATTTAACAGTTGTGAGTTTTAAAATAGATCAAATTCCTTCATTCCCCCTTCTAGTATTTCATGGTAGAGAACAGGCAGAGAGAAACACAGAGTGGGGGGTGGGAGACATGGACTGCTTTATTCTTTATTCATCGAACACTGAGCTCACATAACATCACAGTCACCCAGTGTCTTCCTCCCTTCCTTCCGCACAGAAAAGTTGGGGGAAAATCTTTGATGACAAACATCCAATCCCAAGGAAAATCGAGTCAGGAAGTGTTCAAAGTGCTGCTGGTGTGCTGTGACTGTCCCGT